AGTTTCGACAACACTGAAAAAAGTGACTTACGACCATTTTTCACACTTAGGGGAATTGCAGCCTCCCTCACCATCACGTGATCCCAATTCAGATGCTTGGCCACTGACTCGTAGTTATGACGGTCGCAGTGTGTCATGTGTTCCCCTTTCACAGCCTCCTGGCAAGCAAAGCCAATGGGGGGAAGCCAGATTCACTTAACAATCATGTCCCTAACAGGGATTCACTCAGCAACTGAGACCAGAGAGGTCGTAAGATGGGGAGAAACTCACTTAATAACGACTGCCCCGTTCAGCCACAGCTATTTGGGCCTCCATTGTGGTCGTATGTCGGGAGGATTACCTGCATATATCTGGGTACTTACAGACGGTTCTCGACAACCATTTGTTTAGAGACCGAAGACCAGCTGCATTGAAATGGATTCCTCCTAACGTTTTGTCCCAGCTTGTGGGAAACAATGATCTGGCTTTTCGGTCTGTTTAGCTGCGTGTTGATTAATAATGCAAAATATTAAGAACGCAAAGAACATTAGTTGGATTACACCCAGCCTCCATCTGTCTCCAATTACCAGGAAGCAGCAAAGAACATTGTGATGGAGAGGCCCTCGCTGGCGTTTGACCCTTTGCAGCCCAAAGGGAAAAGATCCTCCAACCAGCAGATCCACCGGCTTCGAGTGGGCTGGAAAAGAGCTAAGAAACGTCTCCTGGCCAGTGGCCCAAAGCTACAGCAGCCAGGCAATTATTCTGGCGCGCGCGGAAATGGGAGCAAAATCCTAACCCGGATCACAGATAACTCCAAAGATGGTTTTGCTAAACCATAAATGATGACAGCAAGAGCAGACGAGACGACAGCGCTAGAGGTTCCAAAGAGGTCTCGGCCTGTCCATCTGGCCTGGTCCTAGGGCTCCAAATATTAAGTGGACAGCCGTGTCTGGCCCTGAAGTCCAGAAGGCTCATTGTGCAATTTATGCAAATGTTAAAAAATGACTTCAAGATGGAAGCGGCTTGATAGCAGGAGGCACTTTTCATCAATAAAGGAGAATATTTGTAGCTCACGGTTGAAATGAGGGGTCCTTGATGCTCTCTTGAGCTTGGTGGTTTTTTTGTAAACATTTCATGACCCAACTAGGTAACATCATCAGTGCTAGAAGGATTTGTGAGAGGAGGAGGAGGAGGAGGAAGAAGAGGAAGAGGAGGTGGAGGAGACTGTAGGGTCCTTGGTGCTCTC